GGACAAATAGTGGATGGTATAGCTGGGCAGATGGACGAGGGTCAGGGATAGGAGGAGAAAAGACGACGTGACTGCTCGGCAGTTTAAGTAGGCTTGTCAGCCAGGCTGAAGCTCGTGGAGCATTTGAGAGATGAAACTTCATGGGTGGCTCTCTCCATCACTGGGGTCTGTGTGAAGGAGTTGGACTCTTCCTCAGTCTGGTGTAGTGGATCAATTCTTGGGTCTAGTTTTCCACGTATGATTTGCTCATCTTAATGACTGTCTCATTGCTGGGAATAGACACCAGGACCAAGGCAGCTTAGAGGAGAAAGTATTTAATTGGAGGCTTGCTTACAATCTTAGAGAGCGTCTTAGAGAATGTTCTGCATCTATAAACAGACACCATGATCAAGGTAACACTTATAAAAAAAATTTTATTAGGGCTGGCTTAGAGCTTCAGAGATCTAGTCCATTACTGCTAGGGCAGGAAGCATGGTGGCACACAGGTAGACATGGTGCTGGACAAGTAGCTGAGAGTTTTACATCTGGATTTTTAGGCAGTGGAAGAGAGCTACTGAGCCTGACTTGGGCTCTTGAAACCTGAAAGCCCACCCCTAGTGACACACTTCCTTTAACAAGGCTGTACTTCCTAATCCTTTCAAGTAATGCCATTGCCTGGTGGCCAAGCATTCAAGTCTATGAGCCTATGGGGGCTCGTTCTTATTCAACCCAACAAAGGGTGTTAATCCAGAATCATTATGATGGGGAGCATGGTGGCAGGCAGGCGCGGTGCTGGAGAATAGCTAAAAGCTCCATTTGATCTAAAGTTGAGAGTGGTCCTGCTGTGGACTTTGAAGCCTTAAAAAAAACAAAACAACATGTGACACTCAAAAATCCAAAAATCCCACCCCCAGTGGAGCACCTTCTCCAACACCCACTCCAGCAAGGCCACACCTTCTAATCCTTCCTAAATAGTCCACCAACTGGGAATCAAACATTCAAATATACAAGCCGATGGGGCCATTCCCATTCAAGTCCCCACAGGCCCTGTCCTCACAGTCCCAATTCACTCTGATAAATACACTTGTTTACCCGGGTGGAGCATCATCCTCCTTCCTCAAAATGGAGTTACAGTTTGCTTGTACAATGCAGCCTCTCGGGGCAAGAGACAATCTGAAAAAACAGTTTTATACAATGTGGAGTCACTTAGGACAAGATACCACAAGATCTCAACAGGCTTCAAAGGATGTGCTCATTCTGGAGGTTTGAGATTTAAAAATCAGATGTTTTGTCTTTCCATACACTTCTGAATACTCAGTCATTTGTGTGTGTGAGACGAGGGGGAAAGGATATGTGTGCGTGTTTTGGGGATCCAATCCAGCTCTCCCCACATCAACCACTGAGCTACATCTCCAACACAGTCATGAACATTTTGATGTGTCCATTTGACAGTATCTGTCATGTGCCTGCGAAGCATCTAACACAATACAATGCCAGGTGCTGGGAATAAATAGTACCTGACCAACTGCTTGAGGGAGCACATGTGGGGACAGTCCTTTACTACTGCTGAGGAAGCTGGGCATAGCGGCACAGGCCTGGACTCCCAGTTACTGAGGAGGCTGAAGCAGGAGGATCTGTAAGCCTGAGGGCTGCCTTGGCCTTTAGTGACAGCCTGTCTCCAATAGAAGGTCCAACAGGGCTGCGGGGAGAACTGTATGGTGAATACTGAGACCTTCCGTTCAACCTCTAGTCATGATGACGACGGGGATGATGATGACAACAACAGGCAGAGAACTAGATAGAGATGTGAGGCAGCAACTGAGCTTGAAATAGATCGAGCTAGACTCAAGCAGTCAAGACAAAGGGTCAGACTAGGGAGGTACAAAGTCAGGAAGAAGGAAATGGCACACCTGCAGAAATAAAGCAATAAATAAAAGAGGTCAGAGGGCCTTGGTGCCTCGAGAGGGGGTTCATTTTGAACAGTTGTTAGAAAACAATCTCTTCACAGCACCCTAGAGGGAGCCTAGGAGGAAGATAGTCTGTGATTAGGAACCTTTGAGATACTGTAAGAGGAAGGTCAGTTCTGGTCAGTTTCTTGATACAAGCCAGCTCATCCATTCCTCAGGAAGAGGGGTCCTCAACTGAGAAAATGCCTCCATCAGACTGGCTCTGTGCAAGTCTGTGGGAACATTTTATTGATTAATGAATGAAGTAGGAAGGGCCCCTCTGGGCAAGTCGTCCTGTAGAAGAAACCAGACTGAGCAAGCCAGTATGGAGCGTTCCTCCTGGGTGATGTTTCAGTTCCTGTCATAACTTCCTTCTCTATAACACGGAAGCTTAAGATATAGTAAGCCCTTTCTGCCCCAAGTTTATTCTAGCCAGTGTTTTATTACAATGGGGACAACCAGGGCAGAGATCAATACTGAGTCTGTGCAGTGAGTGAGTGAGGTACAGGAGCAAGTGGCACAGGGAGGGGGCAGCCTCTGAGTCTGAAGATGCTGTTCTTACCTGGAGCAGACGATGAGTCCGCGCTGTGCTGCTGGCCGTGCTGCACAGACTCCTTCCTTCCTTCCTTGTAGGTGCCTCCCAGCTTAGCTGCATTTGGAAACTGTTGCCCCATGGCATCCCCGTGATTGCCTTGATACAACTTGCAGACAGATTGCTGGGAGCTTATTTATAACCATGATGCATGGTTGCTTGGTCTGGTTAAGTAACCAAAACCTGTTTTCTAAAGACTCGGTTTAGAGGAGGTTGCTGTGCAAAGACAGCTTACGTTAAAAATAGACAAATAGGCACAGAGTGACGGATTCACATGTGAACCTAAAGATTCTAACTGTAGCGCTGAACCAAGGAGCAAGTCACAGCCACTGTCAAGGATGATCTTTGACCGTTGAGTGTCTGGCATCTTAGGTCTTTGGATCATGTACAGCTTGGCTATGAACGGTTGCATCACACACACACACACACACACACACACACACACACACACACACACACCTGCATCAGTATGCTTCCTAATTAGTGGGATCCTGTAGTTCAGTCTGTCCTAAGCAAGTGAGGTTGCTTGTGTCCATGATATGGCTGGCAATAGAGGAGGTTTATAGGTTGGAGGAGAAAGATTAAAGGAGATGGATAGTGAGAGGGACTCAGCTGTTAAGACCTGTGTTCAATTCCCAGCAGGGATGTGGCAGCTCACAGCTGTCTATAACTACAAGATCTGACACTCTTACAGACATAGATGTAGGCAAAACATCAATGCACATAAAATAAAAATAAATTAATTTAAAAAATTAGTTGGCCAGGCTAGAGCGATGGCTCAGTGGTTAAGAGCACTGGCTGCTCTTCCAGAAGACCTGGGTTCAACTCCCAGCATTGAGCCACTTAACGGGTGGACACCTGGGAGGCAGGTAAAAAATGACATCTTGTGTTTACCTCAGTTTCAACGTTAGGTTAGTGGGAAGCCAGAATTTGTCACTTAAAACGAACAGTTGTTGAAAACAGCCTTTGCCGTCTGAGTTTTCCTCAGTCCCTGACACATGAAGATTTCACAGAGTCAGACATATGCAAATTAGATTTCTCTTCCTAAGCCAAGGTTAAATAAAAGGGAAAATTATGAAAGATTGCTTATGGCGGCAAAGAGTTTTGAGGGCTTGAGGATGAATTTCGTTTAAAACCAGGATAGATCTCATTGCCAAACAGGAAGGGGATAAAGTGAAGGGAGGGGAGATCTGGGGAAAGCACGTTCCAGCCCAGCATTTGTGCTGAGAGGTTCTGTTCCCGATCCTCTGCAATTACAGGCATTTTCCTGGGCCGGGAGTAGCTTTTGGCAAGGAAGCAGAGGGAGGGCGTTCCCTCCTTTCTGTGTTTTAGACTGGGTACTGGCCCGCGTGGTGGAGGGAGCCAATTCCCTGCACTGCTCTTCGTTTTCTTTTCTCTGGTTCAGCCTGGGATGGAAAACCTATTTGAAGCAAGATGTGGTCAGCAGGGAAGACCAACAAGCAGACTGGGGGATGTGGGAAGGAGAGCTGCAGCCTGGGCAGCCACACCCATTGGCCAGACTGGGCCACATGTCATTCTGTGTACCCACGTCCTTGTCAACTCCACACATACAGTTCATACATAAACTCATTACGCCACTCCAGCCCACCATACCGCCACACATAACCGATGCAGAGATGCAGTTAATCACGCTCACGCACTGGGGCGTACACACACACACACACACACACACACACACGACTGTGCAACTGGCGTGTAACGTCTATGGCCACACAGACATTGCAAGGCACTCAGTGCATTCCCCAGACACGTATCTAGACAGAATCCTAACACATCCTCCCACCCTGGCTGCCCCACGCCCCGCACTCAAGACTAGTTCCGGGCGGCTGGCGCTGGGAAGAACCCGCGAGGTCTCAAGTCACCGCCGGCTACCACCGGAGGCTTCAGGACAGCCACGGGGCGACGGGGAGGGAGTGCCAAGGGCTAGGCTAGACCCCGTGCTTAAAGGCTGCGGGAGAAGGCTGGGCTGTAGCCAGGGCTACGCCCCTGCATCTCCCAACCCGAGGGCATGCGGGACGTGTGCTGACCGTCCTCGCGGCCCTTCCTCTGCTTCGAGGGGCGTGTGGGACCGACTGGCGGGGTTCGGAGACGACGTGCACAGCGCCACCGCGAGGGGATGGGCTCGCAGAGGGGCGCGGCGGTCTAAGTGTGCGCGTGCGCGTGCAGGCGTGGCGCCCAGAGTGGGGAGGAGGAGCAGGGAGGACGAAAGAGAGAGACAGGAGGAGGGAGCAGAGAGGAGGGAGGGGAGGAGAGGAGAAAGAAGGGAGGAGGGAGCAGGGCGCAGAAGGGACCAGGGCGCGGGGAGGCGGCAGGCCCTGCCCGGTCGCTGCTCCCTCCCCGGGCGGCTCCTCGGCCAGCGGGTGCTCGCCGCGCCTGCAGCCCGCAGCCCGCCCGCTCGCTCCCTGCCCGCCCCGCGCCTCTGCTCTGTCCCGGGCTCCGGGCCCCGCACGTCACCGGGAGAGATGAGTGCGGCCACGGCGCCCGAGCGCGGCTGGAAGAGCGAGAAAGTGGACGAGGCGCAGGCCCTGGCGCGGAGCTGCGCCGCCCGCAGACCCGACTTCCAGCCGTGCGACGGGCTGTCCATCTGTGCCACGCACAGCCATGGCAAGTGCTTCAAGCTGCACTGGTGCTGTCACCTGGGATGGTGTCACTGTAAGTGGAGCCTCGTCGGCCTGTGGTCGCCCGCCTGCGGCCCGGCGCTGCCCGGACGACGGGAGGAAATCCCGAGGGACCCTAGCTGTAGTCACAAAAGGGGACCTTCCTACCCACGGGAGCCTGGGTCTGGCTTTCTTTGCTTTTCTTTTATATACTTGCTTAAAGGTGATAGAGCCGCCAGAGCGAATGCGCGCCAGCAGGGTAGCCTTTTCAGCGGTGGGGGTGGGCATGGACATGCCCCTTTCACTTTCTTGCCTGTTCTTTCTGGCTGCTGTTGAACAGAAAGAACCCAAGGTCCTTGCGATTCCCATTTATTTATCGTATTCAGACTGAGAAAGAACCAAAGTATGAAGAATGGCTTCTAAGAAGTTAAAAGGAACAGTTTGAAGAGCAAACTCCTTAGACACCCAGTTACAACGTTTGAGCCAAGCCAGGACTAGTCTAGTCCTAGGCCCTTTGTATTTATCCTGAGAGTTTTAAATAGATTAAACTTAAGTAGCCATTTAATCAGAATTCCACAATTTGATTACTTCATGGCATTTAGCTTAATCTGACTGCTGAATCATTTCCTTTTAGAAACATTCTAAAGTCCGTTTCCACATAATCTTAGATTAAAAGGGCTTTGGAGTGCGTAAAACACGTTTTCCAAGTGATGTTCAATCAAACTTTTTTTTTCCTGTTATTTAGGAGGAAAATAATTCACAAGGAGAGATGCAATATGTAACAAATCTTTATTTGCTTTTAATTGAGGGTATTTGACCAAGTTGAATTTAATAAATTAAAGGATAGAAAATTTTTGCTTTTTCCTTATAAATTCAAGGTACATGGAAACCAAATATTGAATTTGTTGTTTCCTCTGCTGATGAGGCCAGACAGAATGTTCTTGCTTCTCACCGAAAGTATGGCTTCAGAATAGGAAGTATGGGAACTAGAGTACACACATCGGATGGGTTTAATGGGAGCCTACCTCCTGCAGAAGTCCCGTTCTTACCGTGGGATGCAGAGATAAGATGGCCCCAGCCATTGCCTTTTTAACTTTCCTTTCCAGGTAGAGTTGGCTCCTGGGAAGTGTGCATCTAGTCAGACAGATTGTTCCTCATTAATGAACCTTGATTCTCACAATGTCTTCCTTACAAGGAGATAAGCCCGAACTTACTACCTTCTTTCCTCTGTTCTTACGTATACCTTATGAAATTGAGTGTGTTCGTGGGTGGGTGCGCGAGTGCGTGCCCGTGCAAATGAGCCATGACTCACATGTGGAGACCAGAGGACAACTTTCTGTAATTTGGGGAATCTAACTTAGGTTGTCAGGCTTATGGTGCGAATAATTTCTACTCATGAAACCATCTTGCTGTGTCTCTTCTTAACTGTATCTTATACAACACTCTAGTTTTTCAGCCAAATTATGGCTGCCTCAACTCTTTGGATATGCATATTTAAATATACTAAAAATTTCTTGCATAGGGCCATTCTTTCTCTGGATCCCTGGCTACGAGAGAGAGACAGAGACAGAGACAGAGACAGAGACAGAGAGAGAGAGAGAGAGAGAGAGAGAGAGAGAGAGAACAGGTTTGAACTTGATGTGCATTGAATGGCTGAGTAGATAGAGATGGCCATCGTTTTCCACTGAGGCCGTAGTTTTGACCTGTTTCTGAGCTGCCATTGCCTTCTGTACCTCCTCTTACAGGATAGCACTCATGTTCCTAACCATCCGGGTTGTTTGGTTCTGAACACATGTGCTAGGGTTAGATGAGAAGTCCCTGAGTTCTGGGCTGGCCAGTGTAGAGCAAAACACCACCTCTCATCTTTGAGGTGCCTGCCGCTCTGCCTTCGCCCTTCCTCACACACCTTGTCACACACAGCTTGCTGCTGCCCCTCAGACTGAGCTTGCTGTCTGTCTGCTAAAGCCACTAGATAAGCTTTAAAAACGGTGGCAATTGATCCACGACTTGCCCTTCTCAAAGCTGTGTATGTGTGGTTTTGGAGGCAAGCACTGATCCCCTAGGACATCTTCCTGTTACCTTTTATTTGAGGAGAATGGGTCCATTTTTCGAAGTCACTGATTTTAGTCTTGGCTCTCATATTGGGTGTGCATAGGTTCTGTAGCATTTCATGTGTATGTTATTTCTCCTGTGTTCATGTCATTGTGTCTTTAGTAGACATCCATCTCTTCACTCTAGTTACTGGTAAAGTGTAATATAACAGAAGGCCAGAGTCCTGAAGCCTGCCGATGGCCCTGCCCTAGAAGCTGATGGAAGTTCATTAAGGAGCACTTGTAAAGGCTGTTCCGCAGTTACCTGGTTGCCTAGTGCACGCTTTTCCATCTTGTGTTGTCATGTCCCTCTGGGTAAATGAGAACATGGCTAGCTACCCTGCTGCAGTCCCGCTAACACAGGGATGGCTGCCGCTTCTTGAGCTGTGCCCCATCAATGCGCAGTCCTCTCTAAAAAAGAAAGGAGACTGAGCTCAGATAACTCAGATCGCTTTCACAGTGCTCACTGTTTTCTTCTCTAAGAGACCAGGGACTGATTTTAAATAATCGAAATTTAGGATGGAATCGCTAAATCAGCTATACTGATGTTGATAGTTCTTTATGATTTCTCTCTCTCGCTCTCTCTCTTTCTCTCTCTCTCTCTCTCTGTGTGTGTGTGTGTGTGTGTGCATGTTATCTCTGTGTACATAAATGTATGCATTGTCTGTACACTTGTCTGTGTGTGAGTGACGGTGTGTGTGTAGTGTTTGCTTACATACGTGTATATGTGTTTATATGTGTGTGTGTGTGCAGTGCCCATATGTATGAGTGATGTATGTGTCTGTACATAGTGTGTACTTGTATGTGAGTGAGGGGGTGTGGGTGTAGTGTATTTTGTGTATGTACATACATGTGGATGTGTGATTGTGTATGTGTAGTGTCTCTGTGTATACATATGTGTACATAATGTCTATGTCTGTACATATGTGTGTGTTGGTGTGTGAATGAGGGTGCATGTGAGTCCCTGGGTCTGTCTTTCACTTTCCATCTTTTTGGAGTCAGAGTCTCTGTCGTCTGTAGACTGGCAGGTCTGTATCATGGTAGGAGTACTAAGGCTGCAGCCATAGGCACCCATGCTTGGCTTTAATGTATGGTCTGCAGAGCTGAACTTGGCTCTTCTCGGTTGCATTGCAAGAACTTTGCTTGCTGAGCTGTATCCTCAGACCTTCATTCTTCCTCGCTGTGCCAGGCTCCCACTCCTGCCCCGTGCTTCCTGCACTGGCAGCAGTTCAAGGGTCTCATTCATGAGCAGCTGTGGCACTCAAAGCTTCCAGGTGTGCTATGTCTGTCTCCTAACTTGGTCGGGTATCAATTCTTACCACCTCTTACCAAAATACATTTTTTTAAAAAACTTGAGTAGAATTGGTTAACGTATCTGAGAACCTTATTTTCTGGCAAGATTCTTTGAATCTGCTGTATATAGCTTATATGTTTTCTCTCCGTGAGATGTTACAGAAACAGAATACAATCTGAATAAAGCTGAGTCCCACCCTTTAAACAGAATCTAAGGGCACGGTTTGCGTTGCATTTGTTTCTGTAATTCCTTGAAAGTCACATGTGATATAGAAGGGTCGCCATTGGTTTGTTTATTGCAGCTGAGAAAGCAGAATTGGCGGCTGTCCCATCATCCTTTAGCGTTTCAGAACAACTAAGCAAGTTCAGTACATGCGATGGATGTTGAAACTGTGCTATCCATAATCATATAAAATAGAAGAAACTCAAATATGTACATGTTTACAGAAGACATGTAAAATATGCACTCACGGATACATTCTTGCATAGTTAGTGTTTGGATAATGAGTAGTTTTTTCAGAATAAAGTAGGGCTCTTAATGTGTTAGCTAACCTTGTCCTGGTAAGAATGATATCGAGTTGAATGAATGAATGAATGAATGTTTCTAAGAAGTGTTTTGAGAGAGGGAGAAAAAAGGCATGGCTTAGCCACAGAATGGAGATGGGAGAGAGTCAACCATATGAAGGTATTTGAAAGCAGACTTTTGTTCTCGAATCTACATTTATTTAGAAGGAAGAAGAAACTAAAGACGGATATAGGTGGTGATTTGAGAGGTGTTTGAGGAGACAGATACGGTGTGAGTAGACGGGGTGAAGGGAGGAACGGGAAGCTTATTAAGAACGACTTGGAGGCTTCTTTCCTTTGCACCTGGGGAGCACGGAGCTCAAGTGAGACGGGGAGGGTGGTCCTGAAGTCAGGTTTGCTTTTGCTGAGTGCATGCTGTCTTAGTCATCACACAATACATCAGTAAGCAGCTGCACACAGCGTTCAGGATCTCAGAGGGAGAGATCTGGGCTGGAGATTGTATGGAAGTTTTCTGTTTACGTCTAGGTTGCCCTTGGAGCCACAGTGAGATGTGATATCACTAAGAACAAGAAGACAGTTTGAGGAATAAAGAAAAGCCTTAGGCTTGCTCTTTAGACCAGCACTGAGAGTCAAAGCATGAGGATAAACTGCCAGAAAGCCTGAGATGAGGAGAGAAGAAACATCTTCAGAGTAGAGTGCTGGGGGGACCAAGGGCAGTGAGTGCAGGAGCAAGGAGCTATAAGACAAAGCCAGTATTCGTCAGGTTGTTCTTCGATACAGCTGGTTACACTCGTGATTTCTCTTCTGCTCAAGAAGAGGATGGAATCATTACTTCGGGAGTGTGCTGAAGTATTAGTTGAAGCAATTTGAGATGGATTCTTCAAGGGAAAAGGACAGCAGAGGCCCAGGACACAGAGATGATTGTTCACATTGGTTCAGTGATCACTTTGTGACAGACTAAACGACTGTGCTGAGCAGTCTTGACTGTTAATGTTATTATGTCCATTTTAAAGCTGACAAAGAAGACCTAGAGAAATCAAGTACCTTCCCCCGCAGGCATGTAGCTAGTCAGCAATAGAGCTTGCATCTGGATCCAGGTGTGCCTGATGCTGGCATATTGACTCAGACCCAAAACAGAGGGATTTAA